TGGGTGGGGACGCTGCAGCTGCGCCGGCCGCTGCCTCGGGGCAGCCGGGGAGCGAGGTTGGTGGCGGCCCCACCGGATCCTGACCCGGGCCGCCCCTCCCCACAGGGCTCGTCGCACCTCCCCCAGCAACTGAAATTCACCACCTCGGACTCCTGCGACCGCATCAAAGATGAGTTTCAGCTGCTGCAGGCTCAGTACCACAGGTGAGCTGGCGCTGGTGGTACCCGCCCCGGGAGAAGCTGGAGCCCCCTGCTCAGATGGCAAGACTAAAACCTGCAGCGGAGGTTGTGGTCCCTGCTATATATCTAGGCTGCGAAAAAATAGAGGCGTTGAATGTCTTAGGTGGCAGGCATTGTCTTTAGCACTTTGCCGATATGAAATTCATTTAGTCTTTAAGACAGTCCCATTTTGTAGATGAGAAAACTGAGGCACAAAAATTTCAATAATTTGCCCAAAGCCTCACCTGTCTGGTGTCAGAGCCCCTCTCCCCACCCCCACCTCAATCTGCATTGGATAAAAGACCTCCCAACAGCTGGAGTTGGGAATGGGCCCTCCACCTCCCCCACCACCACCACCACCAAAATCTGTAGCATGTTATCTCTCTCTGCCTAGTTTTGGAGAAGGGGTTCCTGCCAGCCCGCAGAAAGGCGATTCTCTTTCCAGAGCTGAATCTAACGTTTCTAAAGGGTTTGCCAGTGTGCCAGATCTAAAGAGAAAGGAACTATTATTGTCTTCATTTTACACTTAGAGAAATTTAAGCCCAGAGAGGATAGGAATTTCCTGGGGTTGCACAGCAAAGAAGTGGCAGAACTGAGATTTGTACCCAGTCTCTGGGTTGAAGAATACAGATTCTCAAGGTTTTGCTACGGAGGGGGTCTTTGAACTAGGAATCAAAAGGGGGTCCATGGCCACGAATACCAGTGGGGTCTTGGGCCCTCTCTGGACCTTAGTTTACCCACACAAAAGTATTCTTTGAAGGATCCCGAGTTGTCTCCAAGAAGAAATTGAGAACAGTGATATATTTGTTCTTTGGGGGTACTTCCCATTCTCCCCATTTGCTGAAGATTGAACATACATCCTTTTGTTTAATTTTTACTGCTGCCCTATCATTGTGCTCATTTCAAAGATGAGGAAACTGAGGCACAGATGGTTGAAGGGCAGGCCTAGGAACTTTGTTCTGATCCTGTGATGTGGAGGGTTTAGGGGCTTTGCCTGGCAGGCCTGGCCTTTCTGAGCCTCTCTGGGGGTCCCCCCCCACCCCCACCGGCCTGGCCCATGCCCACGTCACAGTGAGCACTGGGGCTGATCCAGTTCCAGAGACCGAGCAATCTGACGATTGCTGCCACAGTGCTATGTGACCTCGGGTAGGCCACACCCCCTCTCTGAGCTTTGGAGTCTCTATCCACTGGGCCTGGGCTTCCTGCTTTACACTGAGGGGTCCTACCATGTTGGGGGCTCACACAGGATCCACCAGTCCTTCAGGAAGGGCCAGAAATGCAGAGTTTGGAATGAAATTGCCTGATTTTGTTTTTAACCGTGGCAACAAATGCATATTTTTAAAGAAAGTTGGAGAAACCAACTGTGGCTGTCCTCCCAACCGGGGTATACAAGTCGTGGTCAGTCTGGCGAAGTGAAACTCCAGTCTCCTGGGGTGACTTACAAGAGCAACTAAGTCTTTATTGCTGAATACCAGCATTAAGAGTGTTTCTGCTCTTAATTCATTTCATCCTCACCACCTCACCCTCGGAGGTTGGAACTCAACAGACTTGGAGACCAAGACCCAGAGAGGTAGAGGGGTTTGCCCAGAGTCACACAGCATCAAAATAGCAGGGTTGACCTTTGGACCCACTCTATCTGGCTTGAGTTTGTGCTCTCAGCTCTTTACCTGTCATCCTGACACCCTCGTGAGGGGCCTTTGAGAAATACCCAAAGCTTATCCTTGCTGGGGGAGCTTGAGAGAGGCGGGGGCGGTCACCGTCTCTATTACCCAATGGTGGAAATTTATGCCCCACTGCTAGGGAAATCAGGACCCACAAGAGGGGCTTGGGTGCCTTTGAAGATTCCTTGGTAAATCCAGTCCAGAGCCCTACCAGCCAACTCGGCTCTCGCAGCCTCTCCACCGTGTCTGTTTGTTCCTCCTTTGCTGGAGAGTTTTTCTCAGTGCTTGAGAGTATGGCCTGTGAAGCCAGCTTCCTGGCTGTGTGACCTTGAGCCTGTTCACTCAACCTCTCTGGGCGTCCATTGCATCATCTGTAAAAACAGTGATGTTAACAGCCCTGATCTCTTTGGGTTTCAGGAGAGGTAAAAGTTTCTTTGAATCCCTGTCTCAGCTACAGTCAGGGCATTTGCTCTGACTTTTGTTATTTTTATTATTTTCATTGCTTTCTCTGCCCCCAGATCTGCAAGGTTGGTTTCATAATCCACATTTTCTAGCTAGGGCACCTGAGGCTCTGCCTGCCCCATCTTCTGCCTGTTCCCCCACCAAAGTTAGGGGCTCCCCTGCACAGTGCGGGGGGGGGACCTCAGCCCAGCCCCCGCCCCTCCCCGTGTTCTTTTTCAGTCTGAAACTCGAATGTGACAAGCTGGCCAGCGAGAAGTCAGAGATGCAGCGTCATTACGTGATGGTAAGCCAGTCCTGGGGTCCAGTGGGCAGGGATGGGGGACCCCAGATCCCCCTCCAGCACCAGCAGCTGTTGCCCGAACCCTGGCCGCCACCTCTGGGATGTATGAGGAGTCAGGGTCAGCTCTCCATTCAGCCTGCCCCTGGGCCGGGCTGAGTCCGTCTTGCTGGCCTGGCTGCCAGCCCAGGCAGTGGCCAAGGTGCCAAACCACCGGGTTGCAGCCTGGGCCTGCCAGGTCCCCCAGCTGTCCTTGGCAGGAAAGGATTCAATGGCTGGGAAAGCCAGGATCTGACTGAGGGAGCAGCCAGATCCCTCCCCACCCCCATGATCCAGGCATCCCAGGCTTAACCCCTCCTTGCCCGAGCCTGGGAGGAGGACTCTGATGTGGGTGGGAGGAAAGGGGTGGCACTGCGATCTTAGGCCTGACATTTGAGACCCTGCCTGCGCACACTGCCAGAATCACTTGCTCGGTTTCCTACCCACCAGGTGGCGATTTCTGCATCAACCCCACCCCACCCCCGTGCCCCACCACACCACCTCGGTCCAGCCCAGAGCCCACTTTTCCCAGGCTTTGGGGGAAGCAGAGCCAGACACTGAACCTCTGGCCTCAGAGGGAGGGATGCGGCTGGGGCAGAGAGAGGGACCCGGGACTGGGGGACTCCAGAAGGGGGCGCTCCCGGTTTGAGAAAGACTGCATGGAGGATGGGGCATTGCAGCTGGGATCTTGAAGAATGAGTAGGAGCTTGCTGGGCAGAGAAGGGGAGACCACACAAAGGCCTGGGAACAAACTTGGCTCCCCCCCCACCCTCCCTGGAGTGACAGAGGGGCACCGTGGGACGGTTTAGAGCAAGGGGAAGGGGCAGGGTCAGATCTGGGGCGTGAGGGGGGGCACTGCTGGCCCCAGAACCAGACCCAGCAGGATTTGTTTATCCTCGATTATTTATACCCAGGAAGGCAAACTTCCCTGTAGTCCGGGGCCACCCGCAGACAAGACACATAAAGATAAAAGATTAGGAGCTTTGGAGAGAGAGAGAGAGAGAGAATGTGTGTGTGTCTGTGTCTGTGTTTGTGTGTCTCTGTGTGTGTGTTAGAGGTTGGGGTGTGATCATTATTCCAGAAACCAGGGCACCCACACCGCTGCTGGGGCCCTGAATCTCCCCCAGCTTCCGCAGCAGCCCCACCAGGCACCTGGGCCCCAGCGCCTGGTGTGGGTATCTCCCCACTTCCATCTCCATCTCTTTCGCCTGCCCTCCCCTCCCCATCTCTCCATTTCTCCCCTTCTCCCCCTCTTTGTCTCTCTCTCTCTGTCACTCCCCCCATCTCTTTGTCTCTGGAGCCCCCCATCCTTCCCCCGCCCCCATTTCTCTGTGTCTCCTCTCCCCCCACCATGCAGTACTACGAGATGTCCTACGGCTTGAACATCGAGATGCACAAGCAGGTATACCCTCTTCCCCCCTCCTCCGCCCCACGCTTACTTCGGCACTCCCCCAGGCAGGTAGGATCTTGCCCACCCCTTGGCTGAGCACCAAGTCTGCCCTGGTATCCTGTTACCTCCCAACCCACCCCCCTTCTTTCTTAGGCCTCCCTGATGGGTTTCTCTCCCTGAGGGGGAGGGGCAGAGACTTTCCGGGGACCTGCCACCCCCCACCCCACTGTCTCCCCTTTGCAAACAGCAGGGGAGGGGTGATGTGCCAACCCACCCTGGAACCCCCAGATTGCCCCTCGCCCTGCAGCCTTGCTTTTGCCACCTGTGCCCTGATGAGGCTACTCTCGGGTATGTGTAGAACACTGATGCCAGCTGCCCCCGCCCCTTTTCCCCTCTCTCCCATGGAGCGCTCACTACCTATCAGGTGCGGGGCATCATCTTCCCAGGGCCACCGGGACCCCAGGTGGCTGGGCGTGGGTTTGTCCTGTGCTCTTAGCCTACAGGGCAGAGAGCCAGCCTCAGATTCCACCTTTGCCGCTGATTGGGTGCCCGTGGGCCCGATGAGTTGACCTGACCCTGGGCCGAGCTGGCCTCTTCATAGATTAGACAGAACCCCCAGGCCTCCCGGGGCTGGTCTGCGCCTGCCCCAGCTGCTGCCCAGGGCTGAAGCGTCTGTGTGTTTCAGGCTGAAATCGTCAAGAGGCTGAATGGGATCTGTGCCCAGGTCCTGCCCTACCTTTCCCAAGAGGTGAGTGGAGCCCCCAGGCCTCCCAGGGCTGCAGGGAGGAGGTGGTAGATGGACCATGAACTTTCCCCAGGCCCTCCCTCCTGCAGCCATCTGGGGCAGCAGCGTGCTGGGTACTCCAGGGCACAGGCCTTCCCTCTCTGGACCTCCCAGCCACCAGCCAGTCTGTGCAGAAGAATCCCCAGGTTGGAGAAACCCCAGGGGTGCAGGGCAGTGGAGGGAGGGGCCTCACCCTGCTGTGGAATTCCCAGCCTAAGTGAGTCATTGCACTGTAAAAATGTCAGCTACGCTAAAGACTGCACCAAGAATTCTGTTTCCCTGTTTTGCTTCCGTCTTTCACCCCCTGAGATTCATCTGTGGGGCCCTGCTGGCCGCTGTGTGGACAGGGGGGCTCTCAGCACACATAGGCAGACATACAAACAGCCACAGATATGCGCAGATGCGACACTTAAACACACGGCACACAGACACACAGAGATGCACACGGACATATGAAGGAACCAGGTACCCAACTCTTCCTCTTTTGTTTCCTGGGGTTCTAAGACTCTTGGTGTGAGGCCCACTCTGTACACACACAAACACACACACGTCTGGGTCATGTAAGGCCCATCTGCTCTCTGCCAGATTTACTGTTGATAATTCATCATTTTCTCTTCAACCCCCACCCATATCTTGGGGTCCCTCAGGTGATACCCAGGAACAATTCCAGGAGGACACCATGAAAGCCCCAAAGAAGGGGATTCTTAGGACCCCAAAGACCTAGCCTTGTGGTTTCCGTTCACAACAGGGGCTCCCTGGTAGCCAAGGCAAAGAAGGAGCTTGGCAGATTCTAGCATCTGATGGCCGGAGAGACAGATGTTCAGGGAGGGCTGGGGTACAGGGTGGGGGATTGCCCTGAACCCAGACTCATGCCCCAGCCCTGCCAGATTTCACTGGGCCTTCCCAGGCTGTGGAGGAAGAGGAGCTTGGGTTAGCAGATCTCCGATCTCTTGGACCAGCAGTCCTGGTCTGAGCTCTTAGAACCAGGACTTCCATATACTGTTGGCCACGTTGTGCACTGCACTTCTGCTTCTTTGCACATGGCATCGGTCGTGGTTCAGGCTTTGTCAGACTCACTCAAAAGCTTTTTCCTAAGATTTTGGTACCAAGCCCTTTGGGTCTTCTCTGCATCTCCGTGTATCCCGTTTTCCAGATGAAGAGACTGAGGCTGGATGAAAGGAATCAGCTGGAGAGAGGGGGGTTTCAGGAGGCGTGGGAAGCCGTGGAGAGGGAGGGCTCTCATAGCCCAGATGGGAACGGGGCTTCTTCCGGGCTCTGAGCCACAAGCCCTAACAAGATCGGGGCTAATCCGTTGATTTCTCTCCACCCCTCCCCCATCCAGCACCAGCAGCAAGTCTTGGGAGCCATTGAGAGGGCTAAGCAGGTCACTGCTCCTGAGCTGAACTCCATCATCCGAGTATGTTTGGGGTCTTCGGGGGAAGCAGTGGGTGGGAGGACAGGTGGGCCCAAGGGGGCTAACGCTCCCCTTCCTCCGCCCTGCAGCAGCAGCTCCAAGCCCACCAGCTGTCCCAGCTGCAGGCTCTGGCCCTGCCTCTGACCCCACTGCCCGTGGGGCTGCAGCCCCCTTCGCTGCCGGCGGTCAGTGCAGGCACCGGCCTCCTCTCGCTGTCGGCGCTGGGCTCCCAGGCCCACCTCTCCAAGGAAGACAAGAATGGGCATGACGGTGACACCCACCAGGAGGATGATGGCGAGAAATCGGATTAGTGGGCGGCTGGGATGGGGGCGGGGGGACAAAGGGGAGACAGACACGGAGAGAGAGGAAGATTCAGTGTAAGACAGTATAGCTCGGGATTGGCTCAACTCTGGTAGTATTTATGGTAGCCGCCTGCTGGGGCCCTCGCCCTGCCTGTGTGCCACCCCCTGACTTGGCTCCTACCCCCAACTCCCAGCCTCCCTCCTCCTCCCCTGCAGCCTGAATGGGTCAATACCCGCTCATACCACAGATGAGGCAAGCTGAGGCCTGGAGGCACAAGTGGGAGGCCAGGTCCGAAGGGAGCAAGACCTCAAGAGGTCCAATACCCCCTGCACTTCCCCAATTCGCACACCTGTAACTGACAGTCAGCCCGCTGCCCCCCTGCCCCTCCCCGGGGCACACCCTGGCCTCACACCCTGGCACTGCATGCAAACACAATGCTAGCTGCCCCTCCCCGCCCTGGGCGCCCCGCGTCTCCCCTTCCCACTCACTCACCCTCTGCTAGTTCCCGCCGCCCACACCCACCTAGTCCTGTCCCCTCACCCATGAAAGAAAGAGGGGCCATGGACAGCAAGCTTCGCCCGGGGAACAGGGTGGGGTGGGCGACCCAGAATTCCCTTTCCCCCTTTCCCAAATAAAGATGAGGGTACTCAAGTTGTCTTGGTTTTTATTTTTTATTTTTCCTTTTTCCAGTATACTAGCTTGTCTTTTAAGAAAAGGGATATTAAAAAAAAGAAAAAGAAAAATGTTAAAAAAAAAAAGCAACACCCACACCTGTGTGTGTATATAGCCTTTTAGACTGTCAGCCTTTGTTGTGTTCAGTCGTTTGATCTCTACGGAGAGAAGTGAAAATGCTGTATCGAGGGTGGGCTTAGCTGTGCCTTTCAAATAAAGATGTGAGAAGGTTGGTTGCCGTGTTCCTGCCTCTGTGTTGCGAGTTGCCCGCGGTGCCCCCCTTCCCGGAGGAGAGGGCTTCCTTCAAGTCTGAGACCCCCTCGTCTGTTACAGGACTGGATATTGAGAGCCCTAGCTGAGTCCGGCTTGTAAATGTAGTCTAGCTCCTGAACTTGGCGCCTAGCCCACAGAGGGCCAGCTGGAGACTCTAGGCCACACAGCACCGCCTAGGTGCTTGAGGTCTAGCCAACTGTTTTGACAGGTAGGCAAAGGGACTCAGAAAAGCTAAGGGGTCACGAGTTTCTGAGTCCCAGGCCAGAGGGTTCCTAACTGACAGTCTTTACCCTTAGAGACAGCTGCTGAGACTGGACAGTCACACTGCACACACAAAACGCTTTTTTCCACATTAGAGAACACAGACCCCCGGCTGGACCTCAACTCTCCAAGGACCACTTGGAGCCCATCCTCGCCCCCCCTGCATCGAAGCTGGACCAGCCCAGGAGGGGGAGCCAGCAGGAAAGGTGATTCCCAGCACACTAGGCATTTCAGTCAAAAGAACTTCAGGGACTTCCCTGGTGGTCCAGTGGTTAAGGCTCTGCTTCCGATGCAGGGGGGGTGTGTTCGATCCCTGGTCGGGGAACTAAGATCCCACATACCCCGTGCTGTGGCCAAAAAATTTAATAAAAACTAAGAGAAGTTCAGGCTCCCCACCCAGGATATGGGCCTGGTGGCAGGAAGGTGGGTGGAGAGCAGGGACAGTCATCTGGACTTGGGAAGGTCTTCACAAGGGCTTCATGCCACAGAAATCCCACCGTCAAGGAGCTGGGAGCACGAGGGATGCAAGGAATTCTCACCTGTCTGCCCAATCCAGTGGGTTCGCATGGGGGCCAAGGGCACAGGAAGGGGAGGAGGGAGAGACAGAGGGGTGATGATGGACAGCCAACCTCAGGGTAAATGCCTCCTGTCCCTAAGGAGAGAAACAGGAGGCAGAGAGGGGACCGGGGGACCCTCCTGCTGGGCCCTGCCCCTCCCCCACTGCAGCCAAATCACCTCCAAAAATGCTAGTGAGATGGGATCACTCCCTGCTTAATGTATATCCTTGTGCTGAAAACCAGAACTCATCTCTACCCCTCGCTTGGGGAGTGTAAATTGTTATATCTGCCTCAGAAGGCTGCTTAGCACCCAGTGATACCCCTGGATTTGAATGCTGGATCCACCCAACACACGTGCCACAAGAATGTTTACAGCAGCTGTAATTAGTCCTCATTGCCCCAAACTGGAAACCACCAGCTGTCCACCAAAGGGCAGAAGGGTAAGTTGTGACATTAGCTGCCCGTGGAATACTATGCAGCCAGAAAAAGAACCAGACCTCACCGCACTTGACACCATACATCTCGCACACGGAACACTGAAGAAGCCAGGTATGGAAAAGTCAATGCTGTGTGACTCCACTTATGTAAAGAACAAAGGCCCAAAGGACCTATATAGCACCAGATGTCATGGAGTTACCAAAGGAGACTTCTAAGGGTGATGGTAATTTGGGAGTTGATTACACAAGTGTATTCACTTTGTGATAATTCATCGAATTGTTTGCTTACAATCAGGGCACTCTTCTGTGTGTTCTGTTTCACAGTTCTTAAAAAGGATTTAAAGAATAGATAATCTGGGCTTCCCTGGTGGTGCAGTGGTTGAGAGTCTGCCTGCCGACACAGAGGACACAGAGGACGCGGGTTCGTGCCCCGGTCCGGGAAGATCCCACATGCCGCGGAGCAGCTGGGCCCGTGAGCCATGGCCGCTAAGCCTGCGCATCCGGAGCCTGTGCTCCGCAACGAGAGAGGCCAAAAAAAAAAAGAAAAAAGAATAGATAATCTTTGGCCTCCATGGTCCTTGGAATAAATTCTAGGCCCAGGAGACCGCAAGGGCCTGCTACGCAGCCCTGTAATCATTCCTTCCCAGCAGGCTGCAGCCAGGTTGAAACAACTGGCTGTTCCTTGCCTAGCGGCCTTTGCACATGCTGCTCCTTCTGCTTGGAACAGTGTTCTTTTTTTTTTCCCCCTCCCCGCCCCCCCCCCGTTCTAATCCCCCAGGACTCCCAGAAGTCACTTTTCTGAAGGCCACCCCTGACCCTCCCCCCAAAGCAAGGCTCTGGGACACCCCCACCCCTGGAGGGGAACAGTGGTTGTTATTGTCACATACTGATTCTGGGCATGGGGTCTCCAGCGTGGGTTGAAATCCTGGCTCTTCCTCTCACAGCAGGGTGATCCAAGCAAGTGGCTTCACCACTCTGGTTCTTGGTTTTCCCTCCCTATCTGTAAAATGGGTATAATCACAGAACCCACGGTTGTCATGAAGATCCTATTACTGACTCCGTGGAAAGTGCTTTAGCAGACCCTCACCCATTCATTCATTCATCTTTTTCATTCATTCATTTATTGCACCCCTACTCTGAGCCCTGGGGACACAGCAGGAAACAGGACACTTAAGTCCCCGCCCCGTGGCCGGCGGTAGGAAAATACAAAATGTGTCAGCAGGTGTCAGCAAGCAGAGGAGCTATGGCGAGTGAGGCGAGTGAAATCACTTGTCTGATCTGTTTCTGGGAAGAGGGTTCCGAGGATTAGCAGAAAGCCTGCAAGGGCTCACCAGCCGTCAGCTGATATTATTATTACTTACGTTGCTGGCAGATGAAGGGCGTCGGGGAGGGGGGCAAACCCGACAGCCCTCAGGGGTCTTCGAAGCAGAAGGGGGTCCTGCCTAGCCACGGACACATCTGTGACCTGGGGTCTCTCTGAGGGCTTCGAAGCCCCTCATCCCGCCCGTGGGGCTGGGGAGGGTATAGGGCGGGCCCAGGAGTCCGCAGTGGGGAGCGAGACCAGAGCGTCCTGGAGGTACGCGATCGCGCCCGGGAAGCCGGGGCGGGCGGAGGTGCGGCCTCCCGCGCTTAACGACCGGGCTGCCGGCGACCTCGGCTAATTGATCAGCTAATGGGCCCCGCGCCGCGGGCACGCCTAATGAGGCGGGAGGAAGGGGAGGAGGGGGAAGAGAGGGAGGATGGAGATAAGGGAGGGGGAGGGGAGAGGAGGGAGGGAGGGAGGGCCGGACGGAGGAGGGGGGGTTAGGGAAAGGAGGGAGGAGGGAGAGAAGCAAAGAGAGGGGGACGGAGGGCGATGGGGCGGAGGGATGAGAGAGAATGAAGGAGCAATGGGGGGAGGGAGGCGAGGGCGAGGGGCAGAAAGGAGGAGGAGGAGGAGCCAGAGCTATGCTCCCAGCTCCTGGGGCACAGGACTGGGTGAACCCATCCCTTCTGACTCCCCGCCCCCCCACCTAGACCCCAGGCCCTTCTTGGAGTCCCCTCTTCCGGCCCCCTCCTCCTTTATAGGGGTCTTTCCAGGGAGGGATCTGTGTGCACTGGGGTGTGAGGCTCCTTGACTCTCTCTGAGCCTTGACTTCCCCGTGCACACAATGATGTCCACAGCGCTGGAGAGTCCCACAGGCCCCAGAGTGGCATGAGACTGACCCAGCCCCGTCCCCACACACCCCTCCTGCACCCCAGCCGCACCCCCCCCCCCACCGCCAGAGCCAGGCCCACCTCCTCCTCCTGGTTTGGCCTCCAGGGCTCAGGAGGGGTCAAGGACTAACAGATTCCCCAGCTGGGGAGAAAAACATCCTGTGAAGGCCAGCGAAAACTAGGATGTCATGCATTACACATTCACAGTCCAGGCGGGCCAGGTACATCTACTGCCTGAAATATTTACGTGGCCTTCCTCCTTCCAGAGTCTGTGTGTGTGTTTGCACCTTGGACTTGGACTTGGAGGAGAAACAAAAAGAAGCTGCAGTGACGCGGAATCAGAGATCTTGGAACGACCACATGCCCTCCCCATTGTGCAGACAGGAAAACTGAGGCCGGAGGAAGGGTAGCAAGTTGTCAAAGTCGCAAAACAAGGCAGGGCCACAGCCAGTCTCCTGCCCTCTGCTGGCTGGCGGAGCTCTCAGCCCCGCTAGGCACAAATAATCAGGGGACTTCCCTGGTGGTGCAGTGGTTAAGACTCCGTGCTCCCAATGCAGCGGGCTCGGGTTCCATCCCTGGTCAGGGGACTAGATCCCCCAGGCATGCCACAACTAAGGAGCCCACCTGCTGCAACTAAGACCCGGTGCAACCAAATAAATTAATACATATTTAAAAAATAATCAGGAAAGCAACGCAAATCCTAAGGATAACAGAAATCATAGATGGCTGCAATCTGCTTAACATCTACCATGCTCTGGCTTCGGCTCAGGGCTTCAGCTACAGCTCTCAATCAGTTCTTGAAAATGCCTGGTGAAGGAAGGACCATTTTACAGGTAAACTGAGGCTTGAGATAAAAAGTGACTCACCCCGGGCACACAGCCACGGAACCAGGATTCTGATGTGGAAAGATGCAAGCTGCCAGGTCCAGATCTTAGCCTGGATCCAGTGCAGGTGGGCAGAGCTATGGCCGTTCCCCTTGCTCAGGGTCTTTATTCTAATTGGCCTCTTTTCCGTGTCTGAGGGTGACCAAGCACGGTGCCACCTCTGGGCCTGACCCTCTGCGTGGAACACACTGTTCCCACAGTCAGCGCACTCCCGGCCATCACCACCTCCTCTCTCCTGCTCGCTCTATCTTCACAGCATTGATCGCTGTGAACAACTTAGGTCAACAAATATTCCCTGTCCTCTGCTTTTCCCCACTCTGAGATGAGTTTCAGGACAATAGGAATTGGGTCTGTTTTGGCCACTGCTGAAT